CTGCCTGGGGACGTGCCACACTCTGCGGGTGGCACACACAGCCCCCCTGCCTGGGGACGTGCCACACTCTGCTGGTGGCACACACAGCCCCCCTGCTTGGGGACGTGCCATGCTCTGCAGGTGGCACACACAGCCCCCCTGCCTGGGGACGTGCCATGCTCACCCCTCTCTGCTTTTCAACAGATCAGTGCACCGAGGCCATCAGGTGAGCATGGCCGGGGGAAGCCGGATCTCCCTCCAGCATGGCATGGGCTGAGCAGGGACCCCCCACCCTCCCCGGGGCTCTGTGTCACGTTGGCTTTGCCCCACTCTAATGGCTTGTCTGTATGTCCTGCCTCCCTGCAGCTGAAGGGGCCAATACCAGCACTGTGTGTCCTCTAGACCTGGTGGAGACCAGGCTCTGCTCCCCAGTGCCCCTTCCCACCATCCCCAGCTGGGCTCTGCTGGACCCGCTGCCGTGTGCCTGGATCACACCTCACCCTCCTGAATAAATAGATGCAGAAGCTGCCCCAGGGCTTGGTGCTTTTGTTGACAGGAGCAGGGGTGCTGCCAGGGTCCCCTGAGCCCAGCGGTCCTGGATCCCACCCTTCCTCTCAGCACCCCGGGGTGTTGGGGGCTCCTTTGCTGCATTGTTTGCTGCACCCAGGGTGGGGAGGGTGCAGTGGGGCAGCTGCCGGGGATGTGAGCAGAGAGGTGCTAACACAGCTGGGCTGGGTGGGCAGCAGGTCTGGGCAGGCAGAGGGGGAAGTGTCCAGGCTGCTCAGCCCTGCACAGGCTCTGGCTCCTGACAGGCAGTTTGTCCCCAGGACACCCCGTTCCCTGCTCAGACCCACCCTGGGGCCACCCAGACAGGCGTGGGGCTGTGCCATGGCTGCCCAGGTAAATGCACGGCAGGTCTGGGACCCCCACGCCTGGGTCCTGGCTCCCTTGGTCCTTCCATCTGCCCACTCACCAAGGCAGGACCATGCTGCCATGAGCCCCAAGGGCAGCATCTGTCCCCCTCCACTCCTGCAGAGCAGAGGCAGTCCCTGGTCCCCCCGACTGTCCCCCTGCCCCAGAGCAGGGGTCCCTCGGTGCCCAGCACAGACCCTTTTGGGGCTGTGACTCCAGGAACCTGACAGAGCCAGGGCACAGGGGACATCAGACCCTGGGAAGGAGGGGACACACTCCCACAGTGACATGAACCCCTTTTTCTGCCTGCCCCGCTCCGGGTGCACCCCACTTTGCACAGCGGTGGGTGACCCTGCGTGGGCACCCTGGGGTCAGGTCACGCCGGTGGCACACGGATGCCGGAGTTTGGGCACCATCCCAGCAACAGCCTCGGGGCAGATGCCAGCCTGGCCAGAGGGACGGGCCACTGAGCCCCTTCCTGATGGGTCACTGGGTGTGACCCATACCGGGAAAGGTCTCCCTGCTCCTCCTGGCAGCCCTCGGGCAGCCAGCTGGGAAACAAAAGCTCTCTGTGTTCTTTCACAAGCGACTGAAGAAATGGGGAAAATCCTGAATTTCAGCGTTGATGCAACAGCCCCGCAACCCCCCTCCTCGGCCCCTTCCCGGGGTCACAGCCACTTCCCTTCTTCCGCAAGATGGGGTGGCTGTTTACCCTGGGGTGACTTCATCCCTTCGAAGCCACCACCTTGCCCAAGCCAAGGCCAGCGGCCGTGCCGTGCAGCTGGGCACACAGGGGGGCTGGGCTGGGCGGAGCGGGGCACAGCTCGCTGCTATAAAACCAGCAGCCCCAGCACCGCTCCCCATCCCACTGGCGGAGCCGGAGGAGCTGCGGCGAGATGAGGATGGTGGTGCTGAGCCTGGGGCTGGCCCTGCTCTGCTTGCTCTGTGCCGAGGCTCAGGACCCTGGGGCTGCAGGACTGGACACGACCAAGGTGATCCGCAGCATCCTGGGGAAGGGAAGGTGGGAGTGTGGCCTCTGGTGACCAGGGCGGGGACTGGAGAGGTGTTTTGGTACTGGGGACAGCTGGGGACACCACAGCCACTGCTGGCTCTGCTGTCACACCCCAGTGAGGGCAGTCACCCAGCTCTAGTGTAGGTGCCCAGGAGGGGATGTGGGTGTCCCATGGCCTGAGGGTGTCCTGGCTGTGTCCCCAAGGAGGGGGCAGCCCCTGCCTGCTCCTCAGGACTCAGAGCCTGTCCTTGCTGTCAGATTGCAGGGAAATGGTACATCACTGCTCTGGCCTCTGACTCCGAGAGATACCTCCAAAGGAAGGACGAGCTGAAGATGGCAATGGCTACCATGGAGGTCCTGAGGGAGGGTGACCTGAAGGTCTCCTTTGCAATACCCACGTAAGTGCCAAGTGCTTTTCTCCATGGGCTTCACTGATCAACCTCCTCCCTGGACCTTCACCAGTGGGTCTCCACCTGAGTGCCTGCACCCAGCACCCACCAAAGACCTGGGCAGGGGGTCAGACAGGACCACCAGCTCCATGGTTTAAAACAAGGGCTTGGGTGAGCTGCAGCATGGGGACCCCTTCTTCAGGGCAGGACCAGCCAGGAGGGGTCCCACCTCAGAGGCTGGGACATCTGCTGCTCCTGAAAGGGACACAGCAGGGTGATAAGGGACCCTGAGATTTCCCAGCAGAACCAGCTTCATCCCAGAAGCTCAGAGCATGAGCAAGGGAATGGCTGTGTCACTCCGTGGGATGGTCCTTGGGTGCCAGCACTGTGTCCTGGTCACACCATCCCATCCCTGAACAGCAAGCCCCACATTTGGGGTAGTGACCCTGGAGCCAGCACCCCCAGGGGAGGGGAAGGGAGGTCACTTCACCCCAGCTGGAGCATCCTTCACTGTTTTGCAGCCCAGAGGAATGTAAGAAATTTGAGTCGATCTACAAGCAAACTGGCATCGCGGGTGAATACTACAGCCCTGGTGAGTGGGGGGAGCCCCTGGGATGGGGGTGAAGCCACTGCCCACCACCCCTGTCTGAAGCAGCTGGTTGTCCCGGGGTTCCTGGCCCTCAGGGGTGCCCACCTGCCTCTCCTGGGGTCCTGGGTGGGACATCTCTCTGTAACCAGTTGCCAGCTGCACCCCAGGGCTGGTCCATGCCAGGGCTGGTGTCCCACCAGTGTAGCAGACACCCCCTTGCTCCCTCCCTCTGGAAAGCTGCTCTGGGATAAGACACGTTCAGACCAAGCTTAAACCCTGGGGAAAAGCAAGTTCATTCTCCAAAGGGGCTGTGCATGGATGTTCCCAAGGGATGAAGCAAGAGTGACTTCCCACCCCCAGCCCAAATGTTGGTCTGACACTGGCTGGGCTACTCTGCTCCCTTCAGGGACCACCCTAGACCCTCCTGCATTCATGTCCATGTCCTCTCTGCTCTGCTGCGATCTGCGGGCTCCCCCAGGCTTCCAGAGGAGCTTTAGCAAGAGGGAAAACCAGGAGAGGGAGACACAGACAGATGGGCTGGGTGGACCTGATCCCCCACCATCCTGATTCACCCTCTTACAGCCCTTTTGCAGTGTGGGAGGTCTCAGGGGAAGGTCATTAATTTCTCCTGTTCCTCCATGTCCTTTGGCAGACAGAGGCAACAGAACGGTGCAGGTGGTGGACACCGACGGCAAGACCTACGCTGTGATCTTTGCCTCCAGAGTGAAGGACGGGAAGACCTTGCACATGCTGAGGCTCTACAGTGCGTAGGCAGCGGTGGTCGGATGGGGTGAACAGTTGGGAGGTGTCGGGGTGCTTCCTGAGGGACCAGGAGTCAGAGAACCCCCCCTCACCACTGCCCTCCTGCCCTGGGTGGGGTGCAGGAGTGGGGCTGGGGCTACGCTGTGATCTTTGCCTCCAGAGTGAAGGACGGGAAGACCTTGCACATGCTGAGGCTCTACAGTGCGTAGGCAGCGGTGGTCGGATGGGGTGAACAGTTGGGAGGTGTCGGGGTGCTTCCTGAGGGACCAGGAGTCAGAGAACCCCCCCTCACCACTGCCCTCCTGCCCTGGGTGGGGTGCAGGAGTGGGGCTGGGGCTGCTGCATGTCCCTGTGTGGCAGGGGAAGGGACAGCGAGTGGGGCTGGCAGGGGACACTGGGGCTCAGGCTCCTGCACTGCACTGGGAGTCCATGGCCTTGGGTGAGTGCTTGGTGAAATGAGGTGAAGTTCAGGGGGCTGCTGCAAGCGAGGCAGAAATGGTGGGGATGGGAACCAAGAGAGGAGGCACCGTGCTGGTGCCAGGACCTCCACTTCATCTTGTTCCTGAGTGGGGTGTCTCCTGTTTGTGGCCACCACTGCTCCCCTGGATCTCCACCACTGTCTCCAGCCTTCTCCTAGGGACCATCATCCATCCCATCCTCACCTGGGTGTGCCCACCAGCTGCCCAGGAGATTCAGGGACAGGACATGCCACAGCCTGGAGCTAACTCGTGTCTTTGCCTTTAGGTAGAACCCAGGAGGTGAGCCCCAAAATCACAGCGCTGTTCAAGAAGCTTGCGAGGGAGAAGAGCTTCACCGACGAGATGATCAAGTTTCTGCCCAGCCAGGGTGAGCACTGCTGAGCACCGTGTCGGGCTGGCTCAGTCCATATGGGGAGCAAGGACTGGACAGCAGGGACCAGCTCAGCCCATCACTGCCACCACTTTGTGGTTGGAGCTGGCAGGAGGAAGTGCTCTGGCTTGGCACATCATGGCTTCACCTTGCTCAAGTTCATTGCTGGGTTGTCTATTTTGGGTGTAAAGCAGGACGAGCCAGGCCACAGCCCCAGCCTCAGCCTTTCTCTTTATTTCCACAGAGGAATGTGTCCTCGATGGAGCGTAGGTGAGTTGCTGCAGTGCAACATGGTGTTTGCAATGTCCTCAGCTGGAAATTGGCCCCAGTAAAGGCCACCATGAACTCCTCAAATTGCCCTGAGGCTGAGTTGTTTGAACCCATGCTGGAGCTCACACCCAGGTAGGACCATTCCCTCTGGAGCTGCTCTGCAGCAGGGACCCCCAGGGTGCAGCTGCCTGACAGTGAGTGAGGACACTTGAACCGAGACCCCCAGTTCAGTGGAGAAACAGCTGCAGAGCTCACCCAGCAGTGAGGACCGGGACACCAGCTCGTGCCAAAGGGACCTTGGGGCTGTAGACTGGCAAAACCATCCAGATGTTGGGTTGGTGTTTCACCACGCAAAATGTGGTTGTTGTTGGCCCACCCTGGCATGTGATTTCCCACCACACTGGTACAAAATTAGTTGTAGGGGTTAGCTAGAAATCCATGGCTGGAGATGGCCCTCCCTACAGAGCTGGGGAGAAGTGGAAGAGAATGCACAGATGCTGATAGAGAGCCCTACTTGGCCCTTTCCTTTGGCCTCCTGATGTCAGATACTTAGGCCACCTCTCTGGGCTCTTTTCTAGGAGGTGTGGGCTGGCTGGGGGATGTTCCTGCCGTTTTTTTTTCAAAACCCTGAAACTCCAGGCTGCTGCTCTGCCATCCCTCTTCTGAGCTCAGTGGTCAAGGCTTTGACGTGTCTCCTGCTTTTCCAGAGCACAATCTCTCCTTTTTGCCAAATAAACAGAAACTCATCCCAGAGCTTGGTGTCGATGTCTGGGGAGAACCTGGGGTACTCGAGTGTGTGGTCCCTTCTCTTGTCCTCCTGGGGGTCTGTGGATGGTGAACAGCCAGGTGTGGTGCTGAGCTGAGCTCACCTAAGTGAGGGCATTTTTGGAGCCCACCAGGATTTTCCCTCCTTGATGCCTCCCATGGGGCAGGAACATGGCCAGGTAGGGGTGGGGCAAGGGAGGTGCACTGAGGCTGGAAATCCCATGGGCACCAGGGTCTGTGTGGAGAAATGCCATGGGATTTGGCCACAGAAGTTGAGGTTGGAGTTTGGGGGGCTGCAACAACCACCACCATCCAGCTCACCTTCCCTCTGCTCACACTGCTGCGATTGCAGCCCTGTGCTTCCCCGGAGCCCAGCTCACCCCCCGGCTCAGGCTGGGCCAAAGCAGGGGCAAGACTCACTGTGGGAACTCTCAGTCCCGTGGTGCTGCAGGGCTGGTGGAAGGTGGGTGTCTGAATCCTCCAGACCCAACCAAAGAGGGGCTGCACATGGTCTCTGCCCCGGGCACTGCGCAGAGAAAGCCCCCACTGGATCAGATTATCTGGTGGTGGTGGACATCTGCCTCCAGAGATTGTCTTCCTTTGAATTTATATTGCTGAAATCCCCCTCCTTCTTCCCCTTCCTGCTCTCTTCAGCTCCTCAAATCCACCCAGGAGAAACCACAGCCCACCCAGGGTAACCCGTGTCCCCAGCAAAGCCCTGACACCTCACACATGCTCATGGCCAGGGCTCGGCCAGTGCTGGCAGGCACTGAGATCTGGCAGGGTATGAGGCTGCTTGTGCCTCTCCTGGAAAAGGATGTTCCTCCAAAATCCTCTCTGCTGCCCTTTCCACTGTGCCCATCCCTGGTGTTCCTTTCAGCCAGGACCTGCCCTTCTGCTGCATGACAGCAGCAGATACCCCAGGAAGGTGTCGTCCCAGCAGCTGAGCACCTCGAGATGTTCCCAGATGCTCCTTCTTCCACACAGGGACTGGGAAAATACATTTGGGAAACCCTCTCCTGATCTTGAGGGTCATGAGAGCTGGACACCACCTGGCAGCAGCAGGGCAAGGGACCTCACTGAGACTTCCCAACCCAGCAGCATCTCCACCCTCTTTGGAAGGAGCCCAGCATTTCCAGCAGGAATTTTCCCCAGCAGTTTGGATTGGAACAGTTCAGCACTTGCCGTGCTCCCAGGAGCTCTGGGCCCACACGCAGCTTTGCCTCCAGGCTGGTTTTCGGTCGGAGCGCTGACGCAGATGACAACATCCCGCTGCCAGCAGCGCCCTGGCCAAGGCCCTTGTGGGACGGGGAATCCCGGTGTCTCCACACTGTGCTCCAGCCAACGGTTTCCTTGCTGCCGTGTGCAGACATCACCCTGCCAGACAGCACTGAGATAATTTCTCTTTGCCACCAGCATTTTCCACTCCTCCTTTTGTCCGTCTCTTTTCTCCCTGTGCCACAAGCTGCAGTTTCAGATCTGGTCTGGTGTGAGTCACCTCCACGCAGAGCAGTTCGGGTGTCCTCACCAACCCCCCCACCATCCCTCAGCTCTCCCATCAAGCCTGTCCTGTACCTGCTGCTCCTGCAGCCCCTCTCCCAGCACCCTGCCTTCAGCAACAGGCAGATACAGGGACAAGGAGAAGCACGTAGGGACGGTGTGAAAAGAGGGTTGTACCTGCTCCTCTTTGACCCCCCAGCCGGATGTCTTTGTGTATTTGACAACCAACCGTGTCCTGGGCTGCACCCAGAGCAGTGTGGGCAGCAGGTGGAGGGAGGGGATTCTGCCCCTCTGCTCCGCTCTCCTCAGACCCCACCTGCAGTGCTGCCTCCAGTGCTGGGGCCACCAACAGCAGAAGGACATGGACCTACTGGAGCCAGTGCAGAGGAGGCCACGAGGATGATGCAAGGGCTGGAGCAGCTCTGCTGTGAG